CCTCCTCCTCCTCCTCGTCAGGCTCGGGGCGGTCCCCGGGGGGCTCCCCCTGGCCCGGGCGCTCCTGCAGGAGCCGCTCGAGGCCGAGGCGGCGCCGGGGGCCCAGCACGAAGCTCCGAACCTGCGCCGCCGTTTTGTTGCCCAGCACGGCCGCCACCGCCGGGAAGTCGCGGCCGTAGCGGCGCAGGGCTGGGGACAGGGACACGGCGCTGAGGGACGCGGGGCCGGCGAGCGGCCGCGGCAATTAGCCTAACGAGGGGGCAACTCACCCTGCACCACCAGCAGCTGCTCGTCCGTCGTCCAGCGCGAGCTGAACCTGCTGCTGCCCTGGGGGGTGAGCGGAGGTGACTTGGGGGGGACGCAGCCAGGAGCTGCTGGGACACCGCGGGGACACCGTGGGGACACTGCGGGGACACCTCGGGGACACGGGGACCCACCTCGGGCGGCCGCAGCCCCTCCAGGCCCCCGTCCAGCGCCTGCCTGAGGCCGCTGTTGATCTGCTTGATGCGCTGCACCTGCGGGGATCGGCGAGGGGCTCACGGGGGTCCCGGGGCGTCCCCGGGAGTGTCCCCCGGGTGTCCCCCGGGTGTCCCCGGGCCTCACCTGCCGTTTCAGGGCCACCAGCTGGCAGTCCAGCTGGCGCAGCGCCCGCGCGCCCAGGTCGGGGTTGGCCGTCACCTCGGCCACGTCCTCGCGGCTCAGGCGCATCCCGCGGGGCGGGCGGCGCCGCTGCCGCGCCGGGGGGTGGTGCCGGTACTGCGGCTCCTTGCGCGGCCCCGCCTTGGGGTAGCAGGGCTGCTAATTAGTTCGGTTCGTTCATTAGTTGGGTTATTTTAAGCGGTTATCGCCAGGGGAACCCCCCGAGCACCCCCCCCCCAACCCCGGAGTTGGTACATCCCGCCCCGGCCGCTGCTCTCCCGCCCCCCCAGCAGGGGGCGCCACCCCGGTCCCGTTTCTGGGGGTTTTCCCCCCAATTTTGGGGGTCTCCCGACCCTCCGCCACCTCCCCCTTGTTGTTTTCAGGGGTTCCTCCCCATTCCCAAAGATTCCCCCAAATTTCGGGGGTCCCACAGCCTCTTTAGAACCCCCCCTCCCCCCAGCTCCTCCCTCCTTTAGGGATTCACCCCCGTTTTTTGGGGGTCTGGCTCCATATTTGGGGGGTTTCCCCCATTCCCTCCCTTTCCTGATCACCCCAGCCTCGAGCCCACCCCCCAAATTTCACCCTGTGACCCCCCCCCGAGCTCCCCCAAACCCCTCCTGTGCCCCCCAACCTCTTTTTTGGGGTCCGGGGGCTCCACGTCCCCCTCGGGGCTGGGGCGCTGCTCGTCGGTCTCGTCGTTGCTGCGGGGCCGGAGGGGAGCCGGGTTTGGGGGTTCGGGGGAATTTGGGGAGTTTTGGGAGGTTTTGGGCATGTTTTTTGAAAGTTTTTTGGGAGGTTTTGGGGAGGTTTAGGAGAGGTTTTGGGAAGTTTTTTGGGGAGGTTTTTAGGAAGGTTATTGGGGAGGTTTTCAGAAGGTTTTGGGGACGTTTGTAGAAAGATTTTGGGAATGTTTTTGGGGAGGTTTTGGGAAGGTTTTTGGGGAGGTTTTCGAAGGTTCTTGGGAAGGTCTTGTGGAGGTTTTGGGGAAGTTTTTTGAAGGTTTTGGGGAGGTTTTGTGGAACTTTTTGGAAGGTTTTTGGGGAGGTTTGTGAGGAGGTTTTGGGGAGGTTATGGGAAGGTCTTGGGGAGGTTTTCAGGAAGGTTTTCGGGGAGGTTTTCGGAAGGTTCTGGGGTGGTTTTGGGGAAGTTTTGGGGGGCGGTTTTGGGGGCGTTTTCTGGGGAGGTTTTGGGGGGCTCAGGTGGGATTTTGGGGGTCCCGTACCTGTCGTCGCGGTCCCGGCGGCCCAGCAGGCGCCGGGCCTGGCGGTCCATGACGCTGGTGCGGGACCGCGTTTTCTTCCAGGAATAATAATATTTAACCAGGCTGGGGATGAGCTTGTC